CCCCAAAACCCCAAAACCCCAAAACCCCAAATATCGATAATCGAGTAATTATAGGATAAGCAGTAGAAAAAATAGATTCTAATATAAATTTGGAGTGAGATTAGATTATTAAATATCTATTTGAATGTTCTAATAAAAGGATTCGCAGGAAACTTTGCTGCATTAGACTAGTAGATCCAGAACAAAATTAGGATTAGCTAGCTTTTTAATTATAGGTTCTGCTGTTGGATTAGTTATGATTTTTAACAGTGTGAATTACTCTTCAGATATTTTGGTAGCATAGTCTGAATAGACACAGCTATAAACTTCTACTCTCAGAGGAAAAGACGCTCATGTTGCATTCTATTAGTCTTGCTATACAAGGGCAGATCAAGAATCGAATAGTAACTGGAGAAAGTGGAGGAATATAATGGATGAATGTCTTTCTGAATAATACTGTTTGCCAGGAAGTAGATTTACTGCTGATGATGGACAAGTTTGGCAAAAATATAACTTTGAAAACTTCGCTTATAATAGATGTTATGGTCCAGCAGATGCATTAACAGAAGCTAAATAAGGATGGGGAACAGAAATGTGGAACCAATATGTTCTTGATTGCAATTCAGCTATGTGTAAACTTTAACCACCAACCTACAGATGGAAATTGACTGATTATTTGGCAAAGAATTAAGAGTGCAAGGCTTCAGCTGATAAATCCTTTATTTATTCAAGACCAGATTTATATTATGCGAGTATCAACTTATGCCTTGGAAAATTATACTGCAACAAAGATGAAACCTACAACTTGCCCATATGGACATTTGATTAGTGGGATAAAGCTTCTAATGAATGTAATACTCTAGCTATAAGTTGGTATAACTCTGGTGACAGCACTTGGTCTAACAAGATGAGTCAGTGTCATTAACAAAAATGCGCGAAAATTAGTACTGGTACTTACCTTAAAGCAAACCCGAATCCAGATTATCCAGAAGGTTCTTGGATCTTTATGGGAAAGTATGGAGTTGATGCTTAAGATAGAGCATTTCAAAGATGTTGGAATGAATGCCCAAACATAATGCTCGCAGAAAAAAGAGCAACAAATGGAAGGGACTGGTTTTGTGCAAGACACATTGATGCAAAAACATTTACTGAAGGATATTTTTTAGCACTGCAGTCTTCCACTGAATAAGAACTTGAATATCTTCCTTAAAATGAAACTATTACAAGTTTAGTAACAGTAGATGGAGCAGCTGATGCAGTTGGAGCATCTATAGATGCTATCATGAAATTAGGGAAAGCGTTCGTGCTTGCCTTCAATCCTGTGATGTGCTATTATAAAAGAGACGGCTCATAAATTCCAACCTTACTCTAACAATATATTAGACCAAACAAAATTGTTTGGAGACTTAATGAGGATTCATATAAGTGCAGATTAGATGGAGATTGCTATAATGGCTGCCTTAATTATGGTCTTCTTAGATATTAATGCTTTATTGAAGGAAAAAAACCAAACGGGAGATGTGCTTGCTGGTGAAGACAAAGAATTTGAGCTATAGATTTGATAGTTAATAGTTAATTCTTTCATTATTTCTACTAAAGATATACAATTAAAATATACATTTTTAATATAAAATGGATTTTATTTATAATATATAGGAATAGAAAATACATTTAGCATCTTCTTCTCAAAAATTTTGGTGCAGCCATAAAAAAATAATGATTTATAATATTGAGCGCCCATTTAATTTGAATATGGGGTTTTGGGGTTTTGGGG